TCTCATCACCATTTCAGCCAGCAGAAGCGATCGGCGGTGAACGTGATCCTGGTGTTTATCCTACTGTGTCCCATGCTGTCATGCAGGCGGCTCCCGTTATTTTCCCCCAGTTGTCTGAAGAGTGCGTGCTTTACATCTCGGGAATCGCTGACTAGCGTGGGCTAAAAATAGCTCTTTCTGACCGCAGATGCAGACGGATCACAGATAGGCACCATTTCCTTCCTGCGCTTCCTGATGCGTCATATAGGAGGATCTCAGATGCTCAAATGGTTGTTAAAATTGTAGTCTCAGTGAGGCAGTGTGTATTCTGTTTCTCATTGCACCTACACTTCAGATGTATTAACCACAACTAGGCAGAATAAGGCACATGACAGAAATTGCATTAAACCAAAGGCACTGCGGACAATCATGATTTTTCGTGGTAGTCAAAGAATACCTGTAATGTTGATAAAAAATACCTTGTTCAGTTGTCTTGCCTTAAAATTAATGATACAATGGCTGCATTTTTTGAAGTTGTCCATAGAACGCCTTCACACATTTCTTCTTTGCCCTTGATAATTAATTAGAGAAAGTTCAATGATTTATTCTTGTCTTCAAGTTTCATGAATTATAAAATAAAGGGAAGGGATATGTGTTCGTTTTTTTCTCTTCTAGAGGTAGACCTTGCTAATAAAAATGTAATTTAACGTGATACAAGAGCATAGCAAAAGTAATTTGATTTTGAATTTCTTTCGGCAGCTCAGTCAAAGCCAATTAAGAGTTCAGCTGTAACAATTCAGACAAACTCAGTGGTGGCACGTTTGGAAAAAACAATTTGACAGAAGAACGTTGGCTACACACAACTGAGTGTCATGGAGGACTGTATCTTTATGTATTGTCAAGCATATGAACTATGCCAATTTTTCTGTGTCTCCTGTATTCGCTAAAGCTGGACAAATTAATAAATAATTTGGCCTTAATTTAAGTCGGGGATCAGTGTCAGAGAGCATCTTCTGATATCTCAGTTTTGTCTTCTTTTAAAAATAAAATGGAATAGCAGCTCTATTCCTCCATCCATCCATCTATCCATCTTCCCTACTGCTTATGGAGCACATCCCAGAAAACATGAACACCTTGGACATACATGCACACCCTCTCCTGACCTTCATGTGACCTGCTGCCTAAGAAGAAAGGATATTTACTCAATGTTGCCTCACAATTCCAGTCAGAAAGCTTCCTCTTGATGACGTCAGCTATTAGAAACAGATAAAGGTTAATTTCCCCCCTACCGTGTTTTGATTAATGCTAGCTGGAACCCTCGGCGTCTCTGATTTATGTGCTGGAGTCGAGGTAAGCTGAGTCCCAGAAGGTGGTGTCTGAAGGTTTGTGCACACTGACGTTGAAGGGAAGGTACCGAATAGGAGAGAATTGGCATGGAGCTCATACAGTGGGACCCCCGTATTCACAGTTTCAGTAACCCCAGTTTGAAAAGAATTGGAAAATTCCAGAAATAAACCGCTCATGAGTTTCAAACCATGTGCCAAGCAAGTAAAGGCTGTAACATGGTGAAATCTGCCAGGCCGTCATTACAGGTTATGTACAGGTATATGATACCCCATTTTTCAATCTTCCAATAGGTTTTTCCATCACTCTATCGTCTCTTGAGAATTTGGCTAAAAGATCAGAATCCCTTTAATTTGAGAGAGTACTGTATAATGATGTACAATGTACTTTATTATTACCATATTAATGTTGATCATGTCTTATAGTGTATACTTTCTCAGTTAACTTTACACAAAAATCATGGTGGGGTCCAATGATGATTCTCTGTTATCTGCGGTTTTGCTGTCTATGGTAGGTCTTGAAACATCACCTCGGATACAGGGGCACTGTTGCAGTATACTATAGAGTGGCTGAGCCCCCGTTCTGGAAGAAGACTAAGGGTCAGGGAGGGTATGATGGTGGGTTTTATGCAGTTTTCTTTAGCTGAAATCCCTGACCGTCATCGAGTTTGTTAAGATGTCTGCATGGCAGCTTTGAAGTCCAGACTGGGAGCAATTACCAAACAGTCAGTGATTTCCATGGTTTATCCTGATTTTTATCCAATGAAAGCCAATAGAATAACTATTTGAAAGTGTACTGAACTAGTCCGTGATTGTGTCTGTCCCACCCATGTTGAGTTTCAAAGCTTCTTTTCCATGTCAGTAACTCTAAGTGAGCCTCTTCTTTCATTCATGTTCAGCATTTGAAGAGGTCTGACAGATTCTCTCTTGCTCTGCCCTGATGTGAGTTCTGTCACCTTTGTCTGAGTCACGGTAGGGTGCTTTGAGTCTGGGGAGGTTTCTGAGGTAAGGAGCACCCCCACTTATAACGATAATGGAGCGCTCCAGGTGAAGACCTTGACAGGAGAAGGTGACTACTAGATGGCATTTTCTGTGAGACTTGGATGCTCACAGCAAGAATGGAGAAGGGTTTCCGGTAATCGGGCTTACCTTTGCCGGCTGGTTTTCCCAATGTAAACCCTCTCAAGAGCCAGGGATTACGGGATCCACATTCTCTTTCGCCTGCCCGCTATATATGACAGGAGGGTCATCTAGCATGAGAAGGAGGCCAGAAGCTGGTTAAAGCAGAAGGTTTGAAGGCTGTGCAGCAGAATGTGTTTGAGAAGCTCTGATGTGTCATGCGATGCTTAGAGTTGCTGGATGTTAAGAACTTTGGGATGTGATTACGCATGCTTTACTCTCCTTTGGGTCAGGGAGTGGTCACTGTGCCTGAACGTCCGCCATTTCTTTTATTTAGTTGATGGATGATGAGACATGGGTGACGATCCAAAGCAGTTTTTTACGTAGATACCGCGTCCATTACCATGATGCCACCTTGAACATTGGGTGTTAAATTGTGCTGCCTCTAGCTTCCTGAAGGTGAACTGCATCACTATAGGGTCTTATATTAGTTAGAGTGGTTCCTGTGAAGTACTTCTGGCCCTTGTTACATCTTGAATTCTAGACGCTATTTTATGCGACTAGAATGTAAGCCTGGATTGAAATTCCATTCTGTTAGAGAGCAGGATCCTCTGCCTGCACTTCACCCTCCACATGGACAATTTCCATCGAAGACAACAAGGAGGAGGACGGGCATCTGCACTGAGGGACTGGTGGCACGGGTGTGATGCTGGTTCTGGGCTCCAACCCATCCTTGCTTTTTTGGATCTCACTGGGGGGGCAGCTCTAAGCAGTGGCCCGTGCAGATCAGACAACCTAATAACAGCAAAAAACCTAAAGGCAATTTACTGCACTCCCTAATTTAACTTTCCCTCTTCCTGGCCAGCAGGACACACACAGGAAGAACAAAAAAATTCAATGGCTCCGTTTAATTTTCATTTTATATTATGTTTCTCTACTTTTTCGATTCTCATTTTCAGCCCTATTTATATATACGCTATTAATCTGCTTCTTTAGGTGGCACCTCTGTAGTCTGGGTTCCTACAGGTACTCTGGTTTTGTCCTGCACTATGAAGATGTGCAGACTTGCCTTGTGCCCTATGCTACCTGGGATATCATGGGATAATAGTTTTCCAGTTTCTGAGATTCTTCCCATTCTGCTCTCCACCAAAGTCCTTGTTCCCTAGCGCGGCTACGCACAGGACTGCTATATCTGAAATGTTCCCAAACACTGAGCTCTCATCACTTCTTTGTTTCATTTTAAAGGAAATACAGTAATTCTTTTTATGAAAGCTCCATTGTGTTTATTTGTAGTATTCACAGATTTGGTTCATTTACATTTAGTTTGCATTATCTGTAATAACCTTGCAGGGTACTTGAATTGCTTGAGCACAAAAATATCTGATTATATGCATGACCATAAGGCTCTCTGAAAAGTGGTCTGGAGAATGGAAAGATGTGAATGTGCGTAAAGTGTACAGTCCTTTTTGGTGTCCAAGTCTCTTCACATAATAGGGTTTGCGTTGCACCTTGGACAGTAAATAAATGACAGAGTGGCAGGCTGTGTACAAATGAATCAGCTCATGCAGGTAAATCCACAGTCTGCCTTTTTCTTTGAGTGTTGTAATGTGTCCCCTTTTGATAAGGAGCTTCCTCAAGCCTGGATTTAAGGACACCCTTATGTGGAAGTGAAATATTTTTATCTTGCAAAACATTGCGGGTTCTTCTGATACTCTCAGTTTTTCTTTCCTCTGGAAACCTTGATGTGTGACATATTCTAAATGAATGGAGGCTGTTTTCTTATGAATGCATTTCAACAGAAAAAAATAATTGCACTATTAGAAACCCCCAAGGTTGTGCTGGATTTCAGTCCCAGCTGTGGTGGCACTTTCAATAATTTCCCTGCACTTGCATGGGCTTTCTCACGCCATCCAAAGATATGTGAACTTGGGTCTAAATTCCCCTTAGTGTGTGATAAACCAGTATCGTAACTTATACTGAATTAACTTTTACCATTCAGCTTTCGATTCTACTGTGATTGTGTGTGCATGAATACTTATACATGTGACTGTCCTGCATTGGACAGGGAGGGCGTGCTTCACGTGTCCAATTCTATGTATTTGTATTGGTGTGTCTGTGTGTAGATGCCATGTGAGGATATTTTGATGCGTGTTCTCTGTGTCTAGGTTACCCTAGATGTATGTAGAACCTTAGATCAGGAAGCACCTTTTTCCACGCAGACACAGAGGCCACATGTATCGGTAGATGAAAAGTGGGCTTGACTCTGAATGTAGATGCGCGCCCTGATGCCTAGGAACTGCCCTTGAGTTTGCAGAGGTACCCATTAGCTTGTGTGAGAAGGGTGTCTGTGGTGTATACTCAGTTAGCTCTCCCTCTGCAGTCTGTCACCATGATGTCCCTCGACTGCCTTGCAGACCTTGTCCCTCTGCTCTGTGTGCTGCCCACTGCTGTCTGAGAATACTGTCACAGGCTGCTATGTAGCCCCCGCCACTTGAGGACGGTGCTTTTCACCCCGTAATCTAAGGTTTGCCCTCCTCTGTCTCTCTCTGTGTCCTTTAGCCGTTCGGTCCTCCCACACCTGCATCTCCTCGTGTCCGCGTGGCTTGGGATGCCTGGGCGCTGACGCTCACAGCCAAGCGCTCTGAGAGGTGTAAGCGTCGTTGTCGCAGCAGCACAGGTCAGTGTCTCCTTCCTGCCATCCTCCCCACTCCCTCATTACCGCCAGCTGCTTCAGCTGTATATAGGGGGTAACAATAAGATAAGGACCACTTTGGATTTATTGGCCTAATGCATGTGCTTATGAGCATGTGCTAGTATGTGGGAGCATCCATGGATGGTGGCCAGAATAACAGAAACACTTACAGTATATTAATTTCATGGACTATATGAAGTGTAGGGACACCCTTTGCTTCCAGAGCAGCTTCAGTCTTCCTTGGAAATGCGGTCATGCAGGTTCTGCACCATTCTGCAGAAGAAAGGCCTGCAGGGGGCTGCAGATACCCCTACAGATCCCCCACATTGCAGTTTGAAGGCTCAGGGGTTGGATGCAGTGTCCTTGGATGCCGTCTCCAAGCTGCCCCCATTCCTCTTTACCGAAGCAGTTTGTCCCTGTTTGTTAAATGCTGTAATAATTCAAGACCATTTGTCTTGACACATTAAATAATTTTGCGTTTTTTCTGACTGCTGGTTGTCAGATCTGTTTTGTAGCTCATGCATACTGCTGACTAGTGTATGACTCACCTATGTAGCAGTAATTTAGTTGCCACATGAACAAAATTTTTTAATTGAAGCATTTCCATTATTGTGTTCACTGGCTGTATATAAGTGTGTTTAATGATTGGGTGTCTCAGCATTCTCCCCCCTCCCTCATCCTGCTTCTCAGACCGGCATGGACAATTACGAGCTGAGATCGGCCGCCAGCATCCTGGCCTCGGTCAAAGAGCAGGAGGCCCGTTTTGAGCGCCTGACCCGCGCCCTGGAGGAGGAGTGCCACAGCCTGGCCCTGCGGCCCACACCCAGCAGCCAGCCCCTGGCCTGGCAGCAGGTGATCATGCAGGTACTGTAGCTGCAGTCCCTCTTCATCTCGTAATTGCTGGTATTAAGCTACTTTCGTTAGCACGGTCGTTTTCGGATGGTCACTAAATAAACTTTTTACCAGGATTGTCACTGATTGGTTGATTGCCTCCTCAAGATTCTCATTGGCTGATTTCACTATCAGGGCAGTTATTGGCTGATCCCTTCACCATGCTGGTTGTTGGCTGGCTTTTCTTAAAAATCTGGTCATTGGCTGCACTTTTTATGTGCCTCATGCTTGGCTCACAATTCCCTTTTTCCTCAGCACTGTTTTGTACTGCCCAGTGGCGTGGATTTGTGAGTAATTCTTTTTTTCGCGTGATGTATCATGTCTGATCTTCCACGCAGACTAAAGGCTATCTTAAGGTCAAGACACCAATTGGCTTTGATATCTCATCTTTTTTTGACATCAGCCTGACATACGTGTAGGAATGACCCAACCTCTATTCCAGTTTTGCTCCTGTTGTTGTGGTCAAAGAATGTAATTACATTTTTGCCTTTCCCTGTGATGTGAAATGGCTTTGTGGAAAATTGATTTTACAGATAAATGCCTTAAGATTAAAAGAAAATGATCAAGCACTCTTTTTTTTCTGCCATTAACTGCTGGGGTCAAGGGTTTAAAGAAGTTTGTCAAAAGTACATTGGATGTGTGATGACTATTTTTTCCACAGACTTTTATATAAAATATTTGTTCCAGGTCAAGTTACTTTAGACAGTTCTGCCAGAACTCTGCTTAGCTGTACAATCTCTGTGTGGAACTTTGTCAGCCTTCCTTAGAGTAGATCAAACAATCTCTTTGGAGATCTGTGTCAGTGTTCTTTAGTGCAGGCTGAACTATTTATGTGCAAATCAGCGTTCCTTAGAGTAGATCAGACAATCTCTGTGCAGATCTGTGTCGCCCATCGGTAGTGCAGGTCAGACAGTTTCTGTGCCGAACTGTGTCAGCCTTCTTTAGTCAAGTCCAGACAGTCTCTGTTCAAATGTCTGTCCAACACTGTGGTAACCTGGTTTAATATATGCCTGGCTTAGTCCTCCTTGGTCTCCCTTTCTTCACTGTGGTCTTCTGGCTAATTACCAAGCCCCCAGTGGACTCGCACATGGACTCGTTTGCATTGTGGCGTTTGAGCCGTGATGAGAATCAGAGAGGAATCCTGGAGTTTCTCCTTCAGCCCCTGCAGATTCAGCCCCATTTGTTTCGGGATTCCCTCTTTTTTTCCCTCTGAGTGCTTTTAGAGGATGATTTCATGGCTTCAGTCATCACTGCATGCTTTACAAACAGAATTCAAACAAACTGAAAACAAATTAATACGTGGAATCTGGGAAGTGATGATGGCCTTTGAATCATGTTACTGGCCTTAATTTGATGGGATTGACAGAAAGAGCTCATCACAGAGGCATGTTAATCATTCCCTTATTTGGGGGTCTTCTCTGAAGAACAGTTCACTTCTGAGTAACTGCCTGTTAATGAATTCAGTGTTTATTCTCTCTTCAAAGAAAACCTTTCCCTGGTTTTGTTTGCCTCTCACTATTGTGTTTTAAGGTTACTTAGACAACAGCTTCCATTGATCTTTTGCTTCCAAAGCTCATAGTCAACAGTGACAGGTCAGAGATGCCCCATCTCCTCAGAGAGACGTTGGTGCTTTCCGATTTCTCAGAATCACTTTTCCTGTCAGACTTGACGTCACCTGGCTGTGCGGGGGTGTACGTGCGATGACCCAATGGCTGGCGATGGAGAGGCTCTGAAACCCACGGTTACTAGGATAATCCCACGCCCTCGCCACTCAGTTTGACCCAGTAGGAAGCAGCTGATTGGCTGTGCATGGTAATTCCACCCACCACTGGAGGGAATGTGGAATTTCCCCCATCGTTGCCAGTCAGGCCCTAGTTTGTCACCATGAGCTCCTGGAAAGTCACTCGCAATGCAGGAAGCCTGGACAGAGAGGGGGACACTCATACTAAAATGGTTCTCTGTCTGGCTGGGCATATCGGCTGCCTTTCGTTTCGTTTGTGGTGATTTTGTTTCCATTTTGTTTGCTGAGACTCACACAGTGGGCTGCTTTTTACACTGTCCACCTCATGAGCTATAAGTCATATTATTAATTATATATAGAGGTGCATACAGTTTACTGTTTCCGTAAATGTCGACACAGCTACATTCTCAGTGCTCCTGTGCTCTGTGTTTATGATCGTCATGGTCCCGTTTTTCTTTTCCTGCCAAAAACATAAAACACCCAGAAGTGCCCACTATGTGTCTTCTCCTGAAATGTATGCTGGTAGCTGTGTGGCATCATACCTGGGTCCCGGGGGGCTGTGGGGTCCTGGGGGAGGGGGTTAGTACCGCAACGTTCTTGCCATATGTGCTTCAGACAGGGGAGTGCAGTATAGCTAAACTAATTAGCCGGACTGCAATACATCGAGTATGAACACTGGGGGGGGGGGGGGGGCTTTGTCGGCTCGGTGGCTGGGCCGAGCTGTGCCTGGTTACACAGGCTCGTTGGGAAGCACAGATGAATAATTGAGCATGTTCCACAGGACGGCCCTGAGCGGCGTTTGGTGAGCTGAGAGAGTCAGACTGGGGGAGCGGAAACGGCTCGGCGTGGGCGCCCACAGACAGCAGGCTCAGTCTGGCCTCTATGTCACACGGGCAGATCAGTGTGAAGGAGAAAGAGATCAGTGTGAGGGTAGAGATGGAAAGACCGGTGTGAAGGAGAGAGACTGAGACATAGTGTGAAGGAGGGAGATGGAGAGAGCAGGGAAGGAGGGAGACACAGAGATCAGTGTGAGGAATGAGATGGAGAGATCATTGTGAAGGAGAGAGATGGAGGGAAACAGAGATCGGTATGAAGGAGAGAGACAGATCAGTATGAGGAACGAGATATTGGTGTGAAGGAGAAAGAGAGAGATCATTGTGAAGGAGAGAGATGAGACAGATCGGTGTGACGAATGAGATGGAAAGATCGGGAGAAACTGATGGTTCAGTGTGCAGACAATGTGTTCAGAAAGATCAGTGTGCAGACAGTGCACAGAGAAATCAGTGTGCAGACAGTGCACAGAGAGATCAGTGTGCAGACAATGTGTTCAGAAAGATCAGTGTGCAGACAGTGCACAGAGAGATCAGTGTGCAGACAGTGCACAGAGAGATCAGTGTGCAGACAGTGCACAGAGAGATCAGTGTGCAGACAGTGCAC